TTAGCTTGTGTATTAACTTGTCACAACTCCATGTTTGGTGTGTGGCATGGGCTCTGCATCTCGCTGGTTTATCGCCCCTTGGTGGAAGGGGGGATAATGCCGTTGGCTCCTGGGGTGCCGAGTTTACGTTGCCCGGTATTTTGCTGGCAGCACCCAGGCTTGTAGCAACATCGGACAGCAGCGGGCTGCCTGATTCCTGATCCAGGATCCATGCATGGCTGCCAACCCTTGTTCCTGTAATCAATAAACGAAAATTGTGGCCAATTTTCACTCCAATCATCTTGTATACGTGACTCTTTGGGTTCTGGAGGGAGGTGAATCACCCATGCACACACAACTGTTAAGAAAAGATAAAAGAAGACCATACGTAACAGCAAACAATTGTATCAGGAGATACACAACAATTTGTTATATCCACTTTTGGCTATATATCTTGCATCAGGAAACATGGAAGATGTCTCAGTTTTAAAAACTTCTATTAAATGAAATAAACTTCTTATTGATGTATACTTTCAAGCTATTTCTGACTTATGGTGATCCTAAGATGAACTTCTCATTTGGTTTTCTTGACAAGTTTGTTCAAAGAGGGTTGCCTTTGCCTTCCCTTCGGAGGCTGAGAGAATGTGACTTGACCAAAGTTTTCATAACTGAGTGGCAATTCTACGCCTGGTCTAGGAAATAATAATAATAATAATCATCATCATCATCATCAAGGCTATCAACACCTGGTCAAACCCCGTCATTAGATACACTGCTGGAATTGTGAACTGGACACAAGCAGAGCTGGATGATCTGGACAGAAAAACAAGATTTTGATGGATTCATTTCAATTGGTGAAACCTGAGAATGTGGACAAGATATTTGGAGAGATGAGGCCAACCACATGCATCCTAAACCCCCTGCCCATCCTGGCTTTTAAAGGAAGCCAGAAGGGGATTGGCCAAGTGGGTGAACGTGGTGGTTAATGCCTTCCTTTGATAAGGCAACATTCCAGCGAGCTTAAAACAAGCTACAATAAAACCTTGGTTGAAAAAGCCATCACTGGACCCCACTCAATTCTACAACTATCGGCTAGTTTCTAGTCTCCCCTTCTTGGGCAAAGTCCTGGAACATGTGGTGGCTTCACAATTTCAGGTATGCTTGGAATACTTGGATTATCTGGATCCGGTGCAGTTTGGCTTTGGAACTGAGACCATCTTGGTTGCCTTAGTTGATTATCTACGCCGGGAGCTAGACAGGGGGAGTGTGTCCCTTTTGGTTCTTCTGGACCTCTCAGCGGCCTTCGATACCATCAACCACGGTATCCTTCTAGGATGCCTCTTTGGAATGGGTCTTGGGGATACTGTTTTACAGTGGCTCCAGTCCTTTCTGGAGGGTTGCACTCAGAAGGTGTTATTGGGGGACACCTATTCAACCCCACAACCATTGTTTTGTGAGGTTCCTCAGGGCTCAATATTGTCTCACTTGTTGTTTAACATCTACATGAAGCCGCTGGGGGAGATCATTCGGAGTTTTGGGGTACAGTGTCAGCTGTATGCAGATGACATCCAAATCGGTCACTCCTTCCCTCCTGCTACTAAGGAGGCTGTTCAGGTCCTGAACCGGTGCTTGGCCACTGTGATGGTCTGGATGTGGACGAACAAATTGAAATTGAATCCAGACAAGACAGAGGTATTCCTGGTCAGTCGCAAGGCCGAACAGGGCATAGGGTTACAGCCTGTGTTGGATGGGGTTACACTCCCCCTGAAGAAGCAGATTCGCAGCTTGAGTGTGATCCTGGATTCTTTGCTGAGCCTGGAAATCCAGGTTTCAGCGGTCGCCAGGGGAGCATTTGGACAGTTAAAACTTGTGCTCCAGCTGCGCCCATACCTTGGGAAGTCTGACTTTGCCAAGGTGATCCACGCTCTGATTACATCCCATATGGACTACTGCAATGCACTCTACGTGGGGTTGCCTTTGAAGACTGTTCGGAAGCTTCAACTGGTCCAACGGACAGCAGCCAGATTACTAACAGGAGCGACGCTCAGGAAGCATACAACTCCTCTGTTCTGCCAGCTCCACTGGCTGCCGGTTTGCTACCGGGCACAATTCAAAGTGCTGGCTTTAGCCTATAAAGCCCTAAATTATTCTGGCCCAACTTATCTGTCCGAACGCATCTCTCCTTATGAACCAACTAGGATGTTAAGATTGTCTGGGGAGGCCCTACTCTCGACTCCATCTGCGTCACAAATACATTTGGTGGGGACAAGAGACAGGGCCTTCTCAGTGGTGGCCCTTCGGCTATGGAACACCCTTCCTAGAGATATTAGATCGGCTCCCTCTCTTTTGATTTTCTGAAAAAAAGTCAAAACCTGGCTGTTGGAGCAGACATTTGAAAAGGCAGATTATGGAACAATTGGACTATGAGATCGGATTATGTTTTTATCTAGGATACAAAATGATTTGTTTTTATTAATTGTTATGGTCTTAATTGATATGTTAATGCTTTTAAATGCATATCCACTTCACATTTATGCAGTTTGACACCATGTTAACTGTCAAGAGACAACACTATGGAATCCTGGGAGTTGTTGTTTGGTGATGAAGCAGCACTTTTTGGCAAAAAAAGGCTAAAGGACTTGTAAAACTACAACTTTCATGATTCCAAACCACAGACACATGGCACTTAAAGTGGTGTCAAACTACATTAATTCTATACTGCAAACAAACTCCCTTTCTCTCTTTTCTACATCCATTACATTGTATGTTACAACTCCTCTTTACTTTTTTGTTCATTAAATATGCTTCATTGTTGAATAACTGTTGTATCAAAACTTACTTATTTCTTTGATGATTCTTGTTTAATTCTGAAATGTCCTTCTTACTTTTGCTGTCAAAACTAAAAGAAATCCCTGAGTTTAAAGAAATCAGGGTGCCAGGTGTTGGGAGGTCCTGGATGGCCAAGTGTTGCCCTCTAACTTACCATAAAGATTGCACACAGCCCCTTGGCCACATGATTTCCTCCCCAGTTCTCAAATCGTACATACAACTGTAGCACTTGGGCAGTTTTGAATCATCAGAGTCATTTTTGATAGCAACAGCAATGCTTGTGCCAGCAATTAAAAGCTGTGTGTAAAACAGGAGCAATGTAGACCAGCTGGCATCTGCTGCCAATCTGAGAAATTGTCACTCACACACACACCCCACTGCCTTATTCATTGGATGAAATTTGCCCCGATGTTTTGAAAACAAATCTAAGCAGAGCTTGGGAAATTTCCTTTTTTTGAATCTACAAGTTCTAGAATTCTCTAGCCAGCATGTTTAACAGTGCCAGAAGACTTTGTCATCCGCTCTCTCCCTGATTGGGAGCAAGATATAGAAAGAGAATGCTTATCAACACAATGAGGGAGTGTACATTCTTAAAAGTGTGAAACTCGGCCCCTTCACACCAGCTGGAATGGTCCAGGAGGGCCTGTCTCCTGAGAAATCTGTCTAGGAATGTTGAGCAGCCAAATGCCAGCTTAGCTGAACAGAAGGAACAGCAAAGATGCATACAACATGGGCAGGCATGGGAAGACCTCTGCTTAGGCATCAAAGACAAGGGCAATAAGTGAGAAAACAAAAGGGTTGTCTCTATCAGTGCATGAGCATTTGGTATATGCCATATTAAATTAAGGCGATGGAACTGTTGGGGGCTTAATGACTCATCCTTGGAATCCTAAGGGCAAGGCTCTCCCACAAGTGTGGGGAAATCTGCCTAAGGCTCCAGTTCACTTTTAGAGTATTTGCCCTGGGTGGGTGGGTGGGTTTGAATGTTTTTGGTGGGCAGGGCCAAAGGCAGAGGATGAGCTCAAAAATACCAGCATATTTTCTCCTTGTGCTCTTGTTTCCAATAATGAAGCCTTGGGAGAGCCACTGGAAAAATTTAGAACAGGAGAAAGAAACCAAAGTTTGGAAGTTGATAACCAACAGTGTCATAGGGTAAGGGGCATGGTCATTTCGAGAAACCCGAAGGCCTCAATAAATATCTCAGGAGGTTCCCACCCTTACTCTGTATCAATGGCCAATCCACCTTAGATCTTCAGTGGGGCACATAAACAGTGATCTGCTTTTCTTCTGTTTGTTATTGCTGTGTGTCTTCAAGTCATTTTAAAATGTATGGCACCCCAAGGCAAACCGATTATGGCATTTTCTGTATATGACTTGCCCAAGGTTACCCAGTGCATTTTCATATCTGGACATAGATTCAAACCCTGTACTCCAGAGTCATAGTCCAATGCTCAAACCACTTCAGCATACTCTCAAAATACTGACTAGAAATGATGCCACATCACTCCAGAATGCCCTTTTGTGAGCAGACGAAAATGAGAGTATTCATGTGTAATGGGAGGTACCTGCAAAGTGTGGAGGTGTGGTAGAGATGTCTACATGTATTTTTGTGTGTTTAAAGGATGTTCTGTTTGGCATTCAGGAAAACATTGCTTTGGAGAACTGATGTGGGTTTTCAAGAGCCACAATAGTGGGGCCAAGGGCTGCATGGAGCCCACAGGCCAACCTAAAGCAGACTAGATATGGAGTTTTTATCCTGAATGAGAATATTGGTTAATCTGAATAATTATTGTCTTAACTCTGGGCCTCCAGATGTTGCTGGGCTTTAGCTTCCATCATCCATCACCACTAATTACATTAGCTGGGGCTGATGGGAAGTGAAATCCATCAACAGCTACAAACATGAGGTTTCCCACTGCTGGCCTACCCTAACTGCCATTGCCTTTCTTGGATTTCAAGCAAGAATATAGTACATATATACAGGGCTTGTACCCATAGTTTTACTTATCTACAGTCAAAAGAAATTCTTTCTGGGTATTTTAAAAATGGGTCTGTATAGGATTTAATATGTTTGCTCTCATGTTTGTACAGTGCATCCATTTGTTCAAGCTGCCTCTAACATTTGGCAGAGCAAGGCAAGGTGACCATCTCAGCTGATTTGGGGTGCCATAAAACAACAGCAAATGGCAAGTTGGTCATATGAAAAGAGAGGAGGGTAACGGTTCCCTTAATAAGGAAAGTCAAGGGCCCAGGGCTCTGTACAACACACATATAGTTAAAACATTGTCACTTACTATGTGGCATCTAACCAAGTAATTTTATTTTTGCATTTTGCCTTCGATGAATAGGGAGAGGTGCTTGCGGGATTTTCTTCCGCGTGTGCCAAACCTTTGGGCATGTTAGACAGCAGTGTATCATGGGATTTGTCTTTATTCATATCTTTCAATATATGTATTTTTAAAAGTTTCATTTCACTGTTCACACATGCAAATGACCACTTGACACTAGAGTCACTGAATGAAGAATGAAGAGCATGCCCTTTTGAGTTGGTTCAAGGCCACAATATGTACACGAAGATGCCTTGCATAACCACCAGCATTATTATCATATGAAAGCTGACTGGCACAACCTGGGGATCACAACCAGATACAGTGAAGACATCTGCCCTTGCGCTTTGCTGATCTGGTGCTGAGCATGCATGCTCAATGTGGAACACATCTCACCATGTTAAAACAGTGGATGTGGATCTTAATGCAACATGCCGCATTGTCACAGAGTGTCTGTGCCCTACACCACTGGAGAAATTACACTGTTTAGCCGGTATTGCACTACCTGACATCTGCTGGGAAGTAGTAACCAATAGTGAAAGGACCAAGGCAGTGATATCTCGAGCCCATCCCCTGTTTGGATATCAGCCAGCATGCCAACGACTTAAATCAAGAAATAGTTTTCTAAGATCTACAGAGACACTCAATGGAACAGCTCAGCAAGCGAGAGTCCAAAAGTGGCAGGCTAAAACCCAGAACCTCAATCAATGACTGATACCAAATGAGAAACTCCCTCTTGGGCACACAGAAAACTGGGCGACTTGGAAGGCACTGAACAGACTGCACTCTGGCTCCACGAGATGCAGAGCCAACTTCAAGAAATGGGGCTACAAAGTGGAATCCATGACCTGCAAGTGTGGAGAAGAGCAAACCACAGTCCACCTACTACAATGCAACCTGAGCCCTGTCACATGCACAATGGAGGGCCTCCTTACAGCAACATCAGAGACACTCCAAGTGGCCAACTACTGGTCAAAGGACATTTAATAGAATGCCAAGTTTGCAAACTTTGTGGGGTTTTTTATTTTTTATTTTTAATGCAATACAACTGTTGAGTTCATCCTGACATGATAAATAAATAAACCAGCACTATATGCCTGGTAATCTGAATTCAGTCACTACTTCCCAGAGCCCATGATGTAATGTCTGATATGTACTCAAGTAAGGTCCCAGTAGAATTAGCCAGTTAATTAGCAATTTAATTGGTAAAATCAATACACTTCTAGGCCAAAACTCCAATATGTGCAGTGATCTGAGTGTTAGACTACAATTCTGGAGACCAAGATTCGATTCCCCGCTCAACCATGGAAACCGATTTGGTGACTCACGCACTCTCAGCCCCAAAATACCTCCTGATAGTTACTTTAGGGTCACCATAAAGAGGAAATTTATGAAGGCACACAAAAATAACAACAACATAGCAATGATAATTAAAATAAAATAAATCCTAATAATGGTAATTAAAATAATGAGTAGATTCACCAGAGTAATCATATAGACAAGACATACAGATTTTTTTCATCTTATGTTTAGAACATTTTTTTAACCAAAGGACTATAGTGGTAAAGGTTCTGCTCACAGACCTCACTTCCTAATGTGGCCTATTGGAAGTATAACTGGCACTGGATTGATATAGGAATACATGACTCTTCAAACACCAACCCAGATCTAACACAATCTTGGAAGTAATGTGGTACAAGTAATGGCATTCTGTATTTCAGTCATAGGTTCAAAATCTAGTGTTTTTTGTTGTGTTCCTCCAAATCTTACTTAGGATGGTGCTAAGATGATTCTATTGTGCGACTTTCTGGGACAGAAAGTGTGAGACTCACCTAAGGTCACCCAGTAGTTTTCCATGGACAATTAGGGAATCAAATCCCTGTCTCTAGAATTGTAGTCCAGTCCTCAAACCACTACACCACCACAATCCACAACTGTTACAGATCCATAACTGCTCTCTATTCAGTAAGACTAGGTAAACCCCTCCCCTATCCATCTTAACAGGCAGCAGCATGATCAAGTGAAGGAACTCTGTTCAGTTGGCAATTGCGGCATCAGTAGGATGACATTTCCAATCTTCTCTCAATGGGTAATGAAACTGTAACAAGGACTTGGGACAAGAGTCATGCTTATAAGCTTTGCCATTGGCATGAAAGGACTAGAGACATGGGCCTCCTTGCCCTTCAATTAGCAGCTGAACAGAATTTCTTCCTCTAGTCTGGCTGTTGGCTGTTAAGCTGCAGGGAGAAGGTAGACCAAGAAGGATTATTTAGTTATGTATATGATGTAGAATTTCAATGGCTACCTGTAGTGTTAGTTTTGGGGATAATGTGGGACAGCAATGTTATTACAGCAGAATACAGCAGTAACTTACAAGTGTGTTGCTGAGGAGAAATTGGCAGTGACATCTACTGATTTTAATTACGATGTTGATTTGGGGAAATTATTGGTTGTGACAACCACATTTTTCATATTTTTAACTAAAGGTAATAAAATTACTAGATGAGTAATCTATTAGTGCAATAAGAAAAGATGAAATAGTACAACGCCATATTGGAACAGCCGCGGACTACGATATTGGATTGTGTGATTTTCAATAATTGGTTTTAAGGTTTTATCATGTTTTAATTGTTGTTTTAATGCTTATGTTTTTATTATGTGTGTTTGTGACATCTATTTTTCGCCAATATAATAACAATAACAATAATGACAACAATGTTTTTACACCTCGCCTCCATCTCCCTGAAGGGACTCGGGGTGGCTTACATAGGGACGAGTTCAAAACAAACATGGTTAAAATACATACTCGCATATAAAATACAACAACATAAAACAGAATAAAACAATAACATTTGTTATAAAAGCAACCATAAAAACAACAACCAATGAACCTGCAGTAATAAACAATTCCTGGCCATGGGTGGGCAGACCAATGTAACTCAGTTGTGAGTATAGGGCTGGTGGGTAAAGTGCATAAGTCAAGTGGTAACATTAAGGATAGTGGGCAGTATAAGATGAGACATTATGACTTTGGGTATAGAATAGTAGTAAAGGGCAAGGATGAGATTTTAGGTCCTGACTGGGCTAGGTTATCTGGGGGTTGTCTAATCGAAGGCACCCAACAACTCCAGTGTGAACAGTAAATAAAGTGTATTGTCGAAGGCTTTCATGGCCAGAATCACTGGGTTGTTGTAGGTTTTTTCGGGCTATATGGCCATGGTCTAGAGGCATTCTCTCCTGACATTTCACCTGCATCTATGGCAAGCATCCTCAGAGGTAGTGGAGGTCACTACCACTACCTCACTACCTCTGAGGATGCTTGCCATAGATGCAGGCAAAACGTCAGGAGAGAATGCCTCTAGACCATGGCCATATAGCCCGAAAAAACCTACAACAAGCCAGTAAATAAAGTATCCAAATGCCATATATGGCCACATCAGCCTGGGATGATAGTGGGCAAATTGAATTTGTTAAGAAACATGGCACATGAAGTGATAAATCTGTGATGCTCTGGGCAAGCAGACATTCTGTGTGTAACTACTAGAACCAATTCCAAATGACCCGTATCCAGGGCGTTTCAAACAGATAGCAGTTTGAATCTGTGGGACAGGGTGAGCTCCCACTGTTAGCCCCAGGTCCTGCCAACCTAGCAGCTCAAAAACATGCAAATGTGAGTAGATTAATAGGTAACGCCTTAGCGGCTCCAAGGCAAATAGGTGCTCCAAGCAGTCATGCCAGCCAGACATTGGAAATGGAGATGAACACCTCCCCCAGAGTCAGAGTTGAGCACTGTCTCCAGAAGATGGAGATGAAAGAGGAAGTCTTTGCCTTTTTCAGTGAATTTCTGTTAATTGTATCAAGGCATTGAATGTTTGCTTGTTTTTGTTTTTGTATATACTATAATCCACTCTGAGTCCCTTTGGGGAGATAGGGCAGAAAATAAATAAAATGTTGTTGTTGTTGTTGTCGTTGTTATGAGTTTCTCCATTTGCACCATTATTTTAAAGTTTTCTTTCTGGTTCAAAATAGTTAGCAAAACTTGATGACTCATTAAACCATTTGTAACTTATGGCATAACTGTAACACATTCATTTATTTATTTACAACATTTCTACTCTGCCTTTCTCCATCCAGGAAGGGACTCAAGGCTGCTTACACGTAGGCAACTATTAGTTGCCTTCAAAAGCAATGTACAGTTAAAATAAACATTTAAATAGAATGATAAAATACCTTAAAACATTCAAACATATAAAGCAATGCCTTCACTGTTAACCACATTATCCAAAGTCGTAGTCTAGGCCATTCCAATAATAATTGCACTTAAATCCATATTTATCTATTGTACAAGATCTTCAAAGACTTGATCAAAAAGCCATATTTTTACTTTCTTACGGAAGGTCAGGAGGTAGGGGACTGATCTAATATCCCTAGGGAGAGAATTCCACAGTCGAGGGGCCACCACTGAGAAGGCCCTGCCTCTGATCCTCATCGATCACACTTGCAAAGGAGGTGGAACTGTGAGCAGGGCCTCCCCAGATGATCTTAAGCTCCGATATGGTTCATAGGGAGAGATCCATTCGAACATGTCATTGTGAAACGTAACACTGAAATTGAGTCCATCACTTTGGAACACCCTGAATAATTAAGGAAAGGCCCACAAGGGCCAATCGACTACAATGGGCCATTTTTAGGCCAGTTACTTGCGGTTGCAAAGTGAGTTGCAGAAGACTAGAGAAATGGAAGGTGTATTTCCAGACGTGGATATGCAACCATTGGACAACTGCAATGGTCATTTGAAGGCTCCCCTTTCCCTCCACAGCAGTGGTTCCCAACCTTTTTTTGACCAGGGACCACTTTGACCAGGGACCACTCTCCAACATTAATACCAAAAAGGTTATGAATCGGTTTTTGGTCAACTTTAGATTCAGTTTGGTTATTTGAGGTGCTGATTCAGAAAATTGCATTGGATAGACCACATCAACTTTAGTTTCTG